TTAGACAATGGGGACCAAATATATGCCAAAATGCCCTGACTTTGGTGTATCATGAGCCAGCTGTAGTATTTGCAGCCTGTACTTCCTGGGTACAACAAGCTGTTTCCTTGTTTCCCAGACTACATTGCATATTTCCTCATGGACACTATAAAACCAAATCATTCTCCAATAAAATGGGCATATCTAGTTCCTTCCAAACTCCCATTATCCGTTTCCCTTGGAAGTTTTTATATTTAATTGGAACCGCTGCCAGTGCTACTTTGAATTCTGGGCCACTAAAGCCCTTAATCTTAAAGTTTTTTCCAGGTAAATACTGATTTTTCTGTACTAACTGGGACCTTATTAAGGTGACCTCCGCCCCCCGTGTCTCTCCAGCCGACAATTTTTTCTTCATTAACACCTACAATGTCCAGTTAATCCCTGTTAATATCCTCCTGCACTTTCCAGACTTGTAGGACCCTAGCTGGCCTGTCTGTGTTCCTTCTGCTGATTCAGGGGTTGATGGGATTTCTGTCCTGTTTACAATTTTAACAGTTTTGTCTGAAGTGTGGGTTCTTTCTTTGTCCAGTTTCAGCTAATGTGCTTTTATTTAACCCTCTCTCTGGCAGTTGTACATACTATTGTTCCCCTTCTGGTTTGTGTGGGACTGGCCCACCTTGCAGGGTTGGTTTTAGATGGCACGGTTTTCTCTGAGGAGCCTCAAACTTTATTTTTCTTGATACGGGGTGGAAATACTGATCCTCCTAGATCCCCTTCAATATCATCCAACGAAGTGGCTGCTTCATCCCCTGCTTTTGTCAGAAACCATCTAAACTGTGTGGGAACCTGTCTGTAGAACTGCTTGAAGCCTATTAGTTGTTTTAGTTCTTGAAATATGGGAATTTTGCTCCCCTCAACCCACCTATTTAAGGCTCTGTCTAGGCGACAACCCAATTGTGAATAAATCTCACCAGGCTTTGTTTTAATCTCTCTGCAACCCTTCCTGCCTTGTTCAGCAGTCAAACCAAAGCAAACTTTGACACATTCTTTAAATAATAAATAATTTGAGGTCTCTTCATCTCTCATTTCTGAGTAAATTTCACTCAGTCCTCCACATATCTGTGGATGCAGAGGAAGCATTCTGGCTTCATCTGGAACCTCAAGGTCTTTACAAGTCTTCTTAGCTTTATGAGGGGGTACCATTTCTGACTGGAATTTGGTTTTAATTCCTCACCAATGCCTTAGAGATTATTTTATACTAGTAGGCTTTTGTGGTGGGACCAACTACTTGTGGGTTGTTGTTTCATATCATGGCGCTGCCACCAGATATGACGAACCCCTGTATCTCCCCAACTGTCTGGCACATTTTTCCCGCCAAATCTTCAGTTCAGAGCAGTGTTAATTAGACAATTGGGATTTTCTTCTTCTTTCTGTAGAAGTACTTTTCTGACGATTGCCTGTCAGAAACCACTGACTCTCAGGTGTCTCTTCCCTCAGAAACCACCCTCTGGTTACTGATCCAGGTATCAGTAAGACCAAACAGAGAAAGACCTAAAGGCAAAAGACCAAATGCAAAAGACAACTTTTCCCTCCAGATCAGCTGTTTTATTTTGCCAATCCGAGAGTGAGCAGAGCAGCCGATTACCTAAGCTCTACTCTGCAGGGAAGATTAACTGCTAACCTCCCTGACTCTCTGTACCAAGCAGCATTTGGCTACTGCATCAATTAGTTTGCTCTGGAGCCATCCCTTCCTGAGCGAAAAGACAAAAATGTGCGAGCCAGGGGCTAAAAAAATGTGAGCTAGCTCACACTAACTCAGCTTAGAGGGAACACTGGTCTCAAGTACCTTATCTTTTCTGAATCCAGCTTCAGCACGTGGCATTTCTCATTCCATGTATGGTAACAGTCTTCGTTGTAAGATTTTGAGTATCACTTGAGTATCCCATGAGAAAGAAGAAGAGATTGGATTTATACCCTGCTCTTCATTACCCAAAGGAGTATCAGAGCAGCTTACAAACTCCTTCCCCTCCCCACAACAGACACCCTGTGAGGTGGGTGAGTCTGACAAAAACTGCTCTTTTTCAAGAACAGCTGTGCCAGAACTATGGCTGGCCCAAGGTCATCCAGCAGGTGCAAGTGGAGGAGTGGGGAATCAAACCCAGTTCTCCCAGATTAAAGTCCACGCACTTAACCACTACACCAGTCACCAGATTTAACCACTACACCAGACTTTAATGTGAAGGTCTTGTATTTGCTGCAGTCTTTAATGTCTCCTTTTGTTGGAATCAGAATGTACAGTGAGTGTTTCCATTGTATGGGCCATTGTTTTGTTTTCCATTTTTGTTAGCATATTCTGGTTAAGATTTTGAGGGACTGCTTTTCTGTGTCTTGGAATAGTTCTATTGATATCCCATCTACCCCTGGTGATCTGTTTCTCCCCACTGCTCTCAGTGCAGTTTTCCCTTTACTTTCTAAAACTGTTAGTTCTTCTTCAAAAGATTCTTCTGGAAAGGAATCAGCCATCCTTTCATCTCCTTAGTATAATTCCTCAGTGTACTGTTCCCATCTTTTCCTAGATATTTCTACCTCTAGGTATTTCACTAGATATTTCCATTCCTCCCCTTACCTGGCTGTTGTTTCAGATGTGGGGACGATCTGTGAAGATGGAAGCGAAGTTCTCTGAGGCAGAAGGAGCTCCGTCAGAGGAAAGTCAGAGGGCGCAGTGTGCCCAGGAGGATGCCCGAGATGCCCTGTCATGTGGTAAGGGTGCCTCCTGCCTAGATGGGATCAAGTTGTTGGGCAGAAGGTTCAGGACAGGAGAAAAGGGGAATACTTTTGCAGAGCACATAGAATGGGTTTTTGGGATACAGAGTGCCATAGGATGTCGTGATGGCCACTTTAGGGAAGTAAGATTCATGGAGGGCAATTCCATTCTTATTTACATCAATTAAAATGTGGATCTCTTCCTTTCCTTCCATTAGAAGGTCTCAAGGTGGCTCAGAAAAAGGAAAGAAAGGGAAGTTTGGGTGCAGCTGTTAGCCAAGGTGAATAAATGGAATGTCCACATTCCCCAGACCTGGTAGGCCGAGGCTAGCCCAGTCTCCTTGGATCTCAGAAGTTAAGCAGGGTCAGCCCTGGTTGGTTCTCGCACGGGAGACCACCAAAGAAGTCCAGGGTTGCTATGCAGAGGCAGGCAATGGCAGACCACCTCTGAAGGTCTCTTGCCTTGAATAACGTTTGGTTTCTCCATAAGTCAGCAGTGACTTCACAGCAGTTTACAACCAACCCACCCCTTGCCATATTCTGGGTCAGCAGACCTCTGAAACGACATTGTTAGGGGGCAATAGCATGCATTCTGTGCCCCTGCTTAAAGGCTTTCCAGGGACATTTGGGAGGCCACAGTGAGAAAGAGGATACAGGAATACAGATGCCAGACCATGGTCTGGCACCCCCATGAGGTTGGAGGGTGGAGCTTGGGTTGGTTGTGATGTCATGTCAATGTCTCATCTCACCGAATACCTGAATGTGAAGTCAGAGCATCAGCAGGCATCCTGGAAACCCATTGGTGGTACCCTAAAGTTTCCAGAGCCTTGGCTGATGCACTAAAAAAAGAATCTGAGTTTTGAGCTGGATGTGATGGTGATGTGTCATGCAAGATAATTTCCGGTCCCCTCTTTTTCTCCTGCCAGTCCAGACTCCAGGATGGGTGGGAGGCCCCAGCAGGTGGGAGAATGGCAGGCCTGGGCTTTTGGCCTGTTCCAGCTGTGGTGCTGCAGCCTTTGGAGCTCCAGGGTGCACAGGGCACATTTCAAGTCTCACAGAAGGGTTGGCAGCATTTATGCTGAGGCTCATGGTTACCTGCTGCTTCTCTTCCACCTCTCTTGACACCTCACTAAAAGTCTTTACAAATTTTCTTGAGTGTAAAGAAGAAACGGTTTCACAGCCCTGGGAACAGGGATGGGTGAAGCAGAATTCAAAGAAGCAAACAAAATAGGAACTTGAAGTTAACATTTCTCCTTCCAATTTTGTCTCCCTTGCAGGCAGTGAAGAGAGGTTGTCAACCTGTCGTCTTTTCAGGGAAGTGGAACCGGCTGCTCCATCTCTGGTCCAGGTACGGGGAAAGATAGGGGATAGTCAGGTCCCCACTTCTTTCTCAAGGAAGCTTTGGATCCTGCTGACTGAGGAGAGACAGGCTCTGAGCCCCACTCTCTTTACGCATCCCAAGCTCTACATACGGCACCCTCCCAGAATGCCCTCTGTTGAGAGTGCAGTCTCTACCTGGACTGATCTCTGACGAGGGAATCTGCTTTTCCTTTCAGCCTCCCTTTTCCTTTGAGGAGGTGGCCGTGTATTTCACTGAGGCCGAGTGGGCCTTGCTGGCTCCTGGCCAAAGAGCCCTCTACAGGGACGTCATGCTGGAGAATTACAGGAGCGTGGCCTCTCTGGGTAAGGACCTTTCATAGGTGCCAAAGATGCAAATTGCTGCCATTGGGACGATGTATGAATCAAAATATTGAAAAGCTACATCTGGTTGTGAGGACTGCCTGGAAACCTTCTCCCCCCCACCCCGGGGGCCACAAGGAGGTAACACAGGTCCTCAGTTGAAGCACAGTTTGTTTGAGCCACAACAAGATAAAGAAAGCACTGTAGACACCTTCTGTCTCCTCCAAGAGGGAAGCGACCAACTCCTTCCCAAAGGCTAAGTCCCTTTCAGCCCCGTGAGTCAGGAAACCATCTGCCAAAGAAAAGCACAACGACATAGAAAAGCCAGGAATACCTGTCCACTCAGTGTGCCCCGATGCCCAAGTTTCTCCAATGCCGGCCCCATCTCCCCCTGTCCCCAGGGAAGAAGGTTGACGAGGACAAACCTCTGCTGCTCTAAGAGTCTGCCAAACTAACTTCTCCACATTTACCTTCCATCACCCTGGTCATGCTGAACACCTGGATAACTGCATGCTTGCTGAGTGTTCACTGTGTCTTTTTTTGTTGTCTTTAAAGCAGTTTTATCGAAGAAAGAATTTTGTAATATAACATCACCACCAAAATAATTAATAATATATATTAAAGAAAAACTTCACACGCATGCTTTATCTTCATAACTTCTTCTTCCTCTTCTTTCTTCTCCCAGAAATATTACAAAATAATGTTGATAAGATTTTCAAACACTCTCAGCTCATTATAATAAACTTACAATATATTATCAAGTTAATCTTGAACTAAAGTATAATTAAACACAGTCCTCGGAGGCCTCAGGAGTCAGGAGGGAAGAAAAAAATCCTCCTTCCGGGGACCGATTGGTCCTGGGGGGGAATATACCCAGACGTTTGCCACAGTCCCACCACTCGTTAGCATATGGCAGAGATTATTATATATTACCCAATTACTAAATTATTAAACTGAGTCCAAGCTCTCTTCAAAATCGTCATGGTCTTCAAGAGTACAGACCCGAGTCGTTTTAGCTGACGGGAGAGGAGAGCTTTCTTTCCTTTTGCCAGCTCTGTTTTCTTGGGATTCAGAAGGGGAAGGATTTAAGGTGGCCAGCATTAGTTCACCTGAGACAGTCTCATAAGCAGAATAAGAAGTTGTACCCTGTTGAACACATTACTTGCCCGTATGGAGCCATCGGTATTTTATTCCTAATTCCCGCCGTTTAGCCGTGGGGCTTTTAAGATCTCTTCTTGTCTTTAAAAATTCAGGAGGGAGATCTGGAAAAACCTGAATCTTCACTCCCTGAAAGTCAAGACCTCCCCTCGCTCTGGCTTCAGAAAGAATTCTCTGTCGTGTTCGAAAGTCCTTAAATTTTGCTGGTGTATAATGAGGAAGTAGATTCTTCACATGCCTTACCGATGCGATAAACTCTCTGTAGCAGGGGGCGTAACACCGGCTTCCAGGTTTAAAGTGCCCGCTAACCAATTTGCTAAAAATATATTCAGCTGTGTTCCTGCTTCAACGTTTGCTTTGAACCCCCTGAACTTTAGGGAAAGTTCACGACTGCGATAATCCAGAGATAAAACACGTTCCTGTGCCCAAGCATCTGAGGTTCTCACAGGTACTTGACTTTCAAGCTCCGTAACTTTCTGGAGAGATTTCTCTGCCTTCTGCTTTGTCTGTTTCTGAAGCTGTTCTAACTCGTCCATGTGTTGAAATGCTGGTTTCAGCATTTCTGTAATATCATCTCTCAGTTCCTGACGTCGTTTAGTTAGTGCCTGCATCAGAAAGTTTGCAGTGTGGGGGCTCTCTTCAGCCATTTGTTCGCCCCTCCCAGCATTGCAGATGAACTGGAAGGTGCATCTGTAGCTGAAAAAAACTCTGCTAAATGCAGCCCACTTTCTTGTTTGTGTTTCCCCTTCTTTCCACCTACAGGCGCCATCGTTCAAAATGAGTTTTTTTGCATTGGAAAGGTTAAAAATATTCAAATTTGAGCAATCAGGCAGCAAGCACTGGGTACTAGCTGCTGACCCGGAAGTTAGTCACAGCCACTCCCCCCCTTCACTGTGTCTTTCAGGTATTTCGGGAGGATGGAACAGGACAGACTCTTCTGGGGTCTTATCTGGACTTTTTGACACTGCGTGTTCCTCTGGGACGGGCTTCCAGAGGGCCTTAGTCTACTGTAACAAGTTAATGACCCCCCCCCACAAACGGCACCTTTTCCAAAAACCATGAGGGCCCCCTTTGAACTGTGGGTTCACTCACGTGGTGGAGCCCTTCACTCCCCCCCCCCCCCCCGGAAAACATGGATTTTGAGGAGGTTGAAAAGCAGCTCCTGTCTCTGTTGACAACTGGAAGGAAACTCTCAGTGCATTTGCAGGACTGGATATCTTGATAACCTCTTGTATTTAATCGTCAGGTTCAGAGAAAAGTCAAAAAGCACGGCAAGTGAAATTGGAATGGGGGGAACAATATTTTGCCACTTTACCCTTTAAAATACATATGGGAAATTTGGGGAGGGGAAGGATAGACGGACTATAAATACAGCTGTACAGGGGGGACTGGCAGGGAAAAGGTGTGACCAGCATCTCAGGGAGGAAAGATGATCTGATAACAAAAATGCTCTCCCATTCCTGAGCACTGCCTGACTGGTGCCTTGGCTTCTTGCCTGGGTGATGATTGAAACTCTTTCTTCCAGCAGCAGATGTAGAAGAGACTGCTGGAGAATTCCAAGGGTTCTCTTTGGAAAAAGTCAAGAATGAAGATGCCAAAAGACACTTCGGAGATGGAGATGGACCCCAGAGACAGCAGGGAAGCCAAGCAGGTAAGAGGAGGGATAAGCCCATTCCTTACTGAGGAGGGGGTTTCGGTGAAATTCCAGTCCAAGAAGAAGAGTCAATCAAAAAGAGCAGGGACAAAGGCCTCCATCCTAACCAGAGAATCCACTCCGGGGGGAAAGGAAGTGTGGCCTTGACAAAGACCTTTAGTCAGAGAACGAACAGAACATCATTTAGCAGACACAAATTCCCTTCGGAGAGAAACCGTGTAATTGCTTGCAATGCAGAAAGAGCTTCAGCCAAAATAGAGCCCTTACTTCACATCAAAAAAGTCACACCGTTGGGGAACCATATAAATGATTAGAGTGTAAACCAAGTATCTCTCATGCAGGAGGATGTACTTTTAAAGTGAATGTTATTGTAGACTTCAGCATACAGCGGGAAGAAGCCGTTGGAATATTTGGAGTGCGGATGAAAAATCAGGTGCAGATCAGACTTCTATATGTGGGTTTTAACAGGTTCTCTTTCTTGATTCCAGCTGGGGATGATGAGAGGAATGAGGAGGATGAGGAACTGCATCCTCTATCGCCAGGTGAAGTCAAGAATGAAGACTTGAGAGGAAACTTCAGAAACCAAGTTGGACCTAAGAGGCAGAAAAGAAGCCACATCATCCAGAAGAGGGGTAAACCCATTCCTTGCCAAGGGAGGGATTTCCAAGACATAATTCACATGGTGAAGGAAACATACAACTGTTTGGCGTGTGGAGTGAACTTCTTACATCAGTCCCAGTATAATGTCCATTTACAAAAGCACAGTAGAAAGAAGATACATCAGTGGCTGGCGTGTGGAAATACTATGATTCGCAGAGCAGAGCTCCTTAGACTTCAAAGAACACATAGAGGAGAGAAACCTTATAGCTGCTCAGACTGTGGCAAGAGATTCTCAGAGAAATCAGAACTTGTTCAACACCAAAGGTTTCATTCAGGAGAGAAGGTATTTATTTGCTCAGAGCCTGGAAAGACGTTCTCTGTGGGTACCAAGTGTAATATATGTTTTCCAAATCTCAGTATAATGAATGCATGTAAATGCTTTTGGTGTGGAAACTTCTTCAAATACAGATCACAGCTCCTTGTGCACCAAAGAATCCACAGAGGGGAGAAGCCTTTTGAATGCTCACAGTGTATAAAGAGTTTCAGTAACAGTAGCACTCTTCAAAAGCATCTAAGAACTCACACAGGGGAGAAGCCTTTCGAATGCTCAGAGTGTGGGAAGAGATTCAGTCAGAGTAGCAATCTTCACAATCATCTAAGAACCCACACAGGGGAGAAACCTTTTGAATGCTCAGAATGTCGGAAGAGATTCAGTGAGAGTAGCACTCTTCAAAAACACCTAAGAACCCACACAGGGGAGAAGCCTTTTGAATGCTTAGAGTGTCGGAAGAGATTCAGTCACAGTAGCAATCTTCAAACTCATTTAAGAACCCACACAGGGGAGAAACCTTTTGAATGCTCACAGTGTGGAAAGAGATTCAGTGAGCATAGCACTCTTCAAAAACATCTAAGAACCCATACAAGGGAGAAGCCTTTCGAATGCTTAGAGTGTGGGAAGAGATTCAGTCATAGTAGCACTCTTCAAAAACATCTAAGAAACCACACAGGGGAGAAACCTTTTGAATGCTCAGAGTGTCGGAAAAGATTCAGTGACAGTAGCACTCTTCAAAACCATTCAAGAACCCACACAGGGGTGAAACCTTTTCAATGCTCAGAGTGTGGGAAGAGATTTAGTGACAGTAGCAATTTTCAAAAACATCTAAGAACCCACACAGGGATTAAGCCTTTTGAATGCTCAGAGTGTGGGAAGAGATTCAGTGGCCCTAGTGGTCTTCAAAAACATCGAAGAACCCACACCGGGGAGAAGCCTTTTGAGTGCTCAGTGTGTGCGAAGAGGTTCAGTCAAGGTTGCACTCTTCGAAGACATCTAAGAATCCACACAGGGGAGAAGCCTTTTAAATGCTCACAGTGTGGGAAGAGATTCAGTGACAGTAGCAGTCTTCAAACTCATCTTAGAACCCACACAGGGGAGAAACCTTTTGAATGCTCAGAGTGTGGACAGAGATTCAGTCATAGGAGTACTCTTCAAAATCATCTAAGAATCCATTCAGGGGATAAGCCTTTTGAATGTTCAGAGTGTGGGAAGAAATTCCGTCGCAGCTGCCATCTTCAAAATCATCTACGAACCCACACAGGGGATAAGCCTTTTGAATGTTCAGAGTGTGGGAAGAAATTCCGTCGCAGCTGCCATCTTCAAAATCATCTACGAACCCACACAGGGGAGAAACCTTTTGAATGCTCAACGTGTGGGAGGAAATTCAGTCAGAGTGGCTTGCTTCAAGAGCATCAAAGAACCCACATCATGTAACTGCTTAGCTATGAGTTGTCAAACTCCTTTCTTAGGAGGGTTGGATCTGACATAAATGCCATTTTGTTGGTCCGGGCCATGTGTGCCATAAAATGTAATACTTACCAGATACCAGCGATATAAACTTCAGAAAGCATACAGGAAACCCAATTAACAGTATTATTTTTAATCTGTTGTCGAAGGCTTTTACGGCCGGAGTTCTGAATCATTGCATCAAAATCCGGAGTCAGTGTCTTTGCTGTAGTAATCTTGAGTATTCTGTTTAGGTGTATAGCTGCAAGTTGAGAACAAACTTTTGATTTATAGATATTTATTACAGAAAAGAACTGTTCGCAGACATACATGGCCCCAAACATAGACAGATTATTAGAAGCAAAAGACTTAAGGTGAGGGTAATTTGGACTGCTCCCCCACCTACCTGCGATTTGTGGCATCCAATCACTGGTAGGTGGGGAGAAGAAAGAAAAGGGGCTGTTCAGCAAGGAAGATGATGAAGGGAATCCTGAGGGTGGGTGAAATTGTCATAGCATGTCAGAGACTTTTTCCCATGGGACACCGGTTTTAAGAAGAAACATAAGTTGCCCTTTAAAATAATGGGTATGGAGTTTATCTGTACCCCCTGTAACTCCCCAACAGGATCTCCAAGTGGCTTTAGATGTTTTATAAGGTTGAGAGAATGCAGTGGGCCCAAAGTCACAAGCATGTTTTCCGGCCGAATGGCATTTGAACTTGGGTCTCCCAGATCCTAGCCAAATGCTTAACTGGTACACCATACTGGCTGTCATTCTTGTGTGACAAATGGGGTCGCCCTGAGCCCACTTGCAGGGTAGGGCGGGGTATAAATTTAATAAATAAATAAATAAGAATGACTCCAGAGACAGTCTGTACCCAGTTGAGAAAAGGTTCAGGTCCATCATTGATACTGAAAAAAAGAAGCTCCAAATAAACACTGTTCGTTCTGAAGGCTTCCATCAAACCGAGAGGAGAGGCAAACAGCTCAGGCTGGCCTCCAAAAAACCATGCTTTTGTTGAGTTCTTCATGGAGGTGGCAATAGCAAGCTTTGCCTCTGCCTGAAGCAGCCCCTGTGCTGAAGCAGACCAGGGATTAGTGCTGGGGGACTGCAGCAAGGTGGTGGAACCAAGGCAGCTGGATCACTGGGTTGGTCTTGATGGGTCTCAGCTTAGGTATAGAAATTTAGCATAGTAAGGGTTTATCAAGACACATAGGGTCCCATATAAGGAAGGATCAATATAATCAAAGGAATATATCGGGAAGCTTTGTGTTCTTAGTCAGTTCAAGGCAAGAAGGCAGGCTTAATAGTTGATTCATTAAAGCCATTATCTTTATGGCTAGCCGGTCTGAAAATAAGGTAGAGTTTCAACAATTCTCCTTCACATTAATAGGAATGCTGCTTACTGCGGCAAAAATTCTTATAGCCAGATCCTGGAAAGAAAAAGCAATTCCTACGGTAGCACAATGGGTTCACAAAATCTGGGATTTGTTTATGTTACACGTTTTTTCAGTTTATAAAGATTCTAATCATAATGAACAACTTTTTTACAATCCGTAAAGTATTTGGTTCCCTTTAGTAGAAAAGATAGATTTAGAATGTTTTGAATGGGAGGCTATTAAGGCTGCCAAATATAAGCTCCTCCTATTTTGTTGAGGCTACAAAAGGATTTTGCTTAATAGACTGTATTTTCACAGAAGTTAATGATTGTCAGTTTATCAGAATTGTTTATATATTTTAATAGTATTGTAAATGATATAGTTGCTGTGCCCCTTTTCCTCTTGTTTTAACATATATTATGTCATCGCTGCTGCTATTTTAAAGTGTAACAATATTTAATTAAATAATAATAATAACAATAACAACAACAACAACAACAATTCTCCTTCACTAGTTTTCCATTCGCGGGAGGAGGAGCCTCTTCTTTCCTGGGCCTCCTATCAGTGGAGCGAATGGAAAACTAGTGAGTGTTGGAAGAATTGTTGAAATACTATTTCAGTGAGTATGTATGTGCTGACAACTGGGGATATAGTTAATATGTTGTAATATAGTAAATATGACATGGAAATATCCTTTTCAGTTCACAGCTAAAGAGTACCAGCTATCTGAAGAAGCGTAACGCGAACGTGGCAGTGAAGCCAGCCGTGTAATAGCTGTACTCACATATGACGTGGAACTATTGCACTCCTGAAGTTTTTTATACAAAGGAATTGTGGACTCTAATTGTATTCTCTCTTTGTATCAAGTACTTTTTGTTCCTAGCTCTGTAAAATACACACACACACACACACACATTTATATATAGGTTCTTTAACAAAGATTTCAAAATGTTTGAATTGTTTCATACAATATAATTTTTCTGCTTATGTTCGTAAATCATTCATGGAGTGTCTTTATATTTATACAACCACATCCTTTGGGGAGCTGGCTTGGGTTGGATATTTGACATTTTGGCAAGGTCGTCTCTGCCTGCTTGGCTCTGCTCTGCGTGGCTCCTCAATCAGCTTCCCAAGCTCCCGAGGGGTGTTTCAGCTCCTGCAGGCTTCTTAATGGGTGGACTGGAGTGAGTCTCTGGCGGCCTCGGGCTCTCCTGCGGGGTCAGGCAGTGCAGCCTTCCAAGTTGGTCGCTTCCACCGCAGCCAAAGGCTGCCTTGTAGTAGAGCGCAAAGAAGCACAATCGTCTGCCACAGCCAGGTGGCTGGTTCTCTAAGCATTGTAGGTTGGAGGTGAGGTTTTTGTGTGTGTGTGTGTGTGTGTGTTTTTGCCATTAAGTGTGGTTAATTAGTTGAGGTTATTAAAAACAAACAAATGAAAAACTCTTTGAATAAGTTAAGTAACACTTTTATTGTAGTTATAGGAAGCTTAATTACAGTTTGGCCAGTGTGTTAGGAAGCAGCCCTGAGTTTAGTAGTAGACTCGAGTTGACTGCTTAGTGGTGTCCAGTTTGGATCGATAACATCTAGTGGGGGAGGCCATGCTAGGGCTGGGGTGGAGAAGGTATGGCAGTGGGACAAGGTGGTGGAAGGGGAAGGTGACGGAGACATGGGGAGGCTTCGTCTCCTTCCTACCTTTGTCCCATCTCATGAGATACCAGGTGTGGGGCTAGGAAAAAACACCCGTCTCGACACTAGTATTGTGCAATGCAAAGTCAATCAATAATAAGCCCTCTGTCCTTCAGAACTACCTGTTGGAGCAAAATGTAGACCTGGCATGCGTGACCAAGACCTGGGTGAGAGATGGCAAGACTGTAGCTTTGACCCAACTTACTCTCACGCGTTTCTCAGTCTTTTACCAATCCCGGAATAATTGGGGGGGAGGTGTCACACTACTTTTTTGGGAGGCTTATTCTTTCCGAGTACTCCCCGTGCGAAAAATTGCCAGCGTTGAATGTGTTGGCCTAATGTGGGAAGCCGAGGAGTATTTGGCTATCTGGCTGGTGTACCAGCCGCCTAACACACCAGCAGATACCTTGCCAGGCCTATTGGAGGCTGTGTCGGGCTGGGCATTGGAGTATCCCAGGCTTATGGTCCTGAGGGATTTCAATGTCCATGCTGTCGATCCGGCTTCCTTTCGGGCCAGGGCCCTGGTGTCATCCACAGTGGCACTAGAACTCCCAGTTTGTATCGACTCCCACCCATCAAGCAGGCCACATGCTGGACCTTATTTTTGGCGTGGGGATAGATGTGGATCTGGCAGTACCATGGTCAGACCAATTCACCCTGAGGGCTTGTCTGAGTAGGTTAAACCCTCCTTGTTTAGGTGGCAAGCGGATTTATGCTCGCCCGTGGAGTCAAATGGACCTCATTAGGTTCCAGGAAGCTCTGTGGGATCCGATGCCCACTGGAGATTCGTTAAATGAGCTTGTGGAGGATTGGCATAGCCAACTCTCAGAAACCATGGACGAGATCGCTCCCTGGCGCCCTCTCCACCCTCATGCCAAACTAGTTCTGTAGTATACCCCGGAGCTGTGGAGGATGAAACGAGAGCTGAGATGGCTCGAGCAAGTGGGGCAGCGTACTTGTGACAGAGCTTCAAGAACATCCTATAGGGCATTTGTGAAAGCCTGTGAGATGGCAGTGAAGACTGCTAAGAAAACTTTCTATGTGGCCTCCATTCCATCTGCTAGCTTTCGCCCAGCCTGATTAAGGATTCAATCTTTGACTTCATTGCCTCAGGGCAAACTAAATAAGGAATTAGCTATAAGCCAAGGGTGACCAAAGTGCGGCTTGGGAGCTGCATGGGGCTCCCTCCTGCCATCTATTTGCCTTGTTTCTAGTTCTTGTTTTCTCTCTCTCGTTTCTTTCCACCACTTTCATTCTTATAACCTTCCTTCCATCCTCCCTCCCCATCTATTTGTTTTCTGTTTCTTTTTCTATCTCTCTCTTCCTTCCTCCCCCCTCCCTCATCTATTTGCTTTCTTTGTTTCTCTTTCCTCCTCCTTTCATCTCGCCCCATCTATTTGCTTTCTTTCCACTTTTCTTTCTTCTTCTTCCTCCCTCCCTATTTTCTCTCTCTCTCTCTCTCCACCGCTTTCATTTTTTTCTTTTCACTGCTCTTTCTTAGACAAATAAATATCATTATCAATATCTGTTTTTACCCCTTTTGTTTTTATTTTAGGCTGTCTCATTTAATGTTAACAAAAAGCAAATATCCATATTTTTCAGTTGAAACACGTGTGCAAAATTTGTTCATGTCTTGCGATTCTCAGACATCTGACGTTGTCTGAGCACTCACTGGAGAAGACCCTGATGCTGGGAAAGATTGAAGGTCAAAGAAGATGGGGATGGCAAAGGATGAGATGGTTAGACTGTGTCACTGATGCAACGAACATGAAACTGAGCAAACTTCAGAGGACGGCGGAAGACAGGAGGGCCTGGCGTGATCTGGTCCATGGGGTCACAAAGAGTCGGACTCGACTGTGCGACTGAACAACAACAAAAGGAAGAGTACAGATATCAAGGTCTGAACCTCTGAATGCCCAACAGACTCTTCGAGTATTACAATGGGTGACATAGGATTTTATACTCAGTATGACACACACTGCGGTGGCTCAGTGGTTAAGATGTTGAACTGCAGACCAGAAGGTCAGTAATTTGGCTGTTCAAGACCCGAGTGCTGCATGACAGAGTGAGCTCCCATCTCTGGTCCCAGCTCTTGCCAACCTACCAGTTCGAAAGCAAGAAATTGCAAGTAGATAAATAGGTACCACTTTGGTGGTAACAGCGTTCCATGTGCCTCTGCGTCTAGTCATGCCGGCCACATGACCATGGCGATGTCTTCGGACAGCGCTGGCTCTTCAGCTTCGAAACAGATGAGCACCACAACCCTAGAGTCGGATTCAACTGGCTTTCGAGCAAGGGAAACCCTATGACACACACAAATAAAACAAGATTATTGGTTCCATCAAACATCAGCACTCTGACCTAACAGGTCTCTGATTGGCGGAAAACCTTTTGGGCTGGGCTTTCCCAAGTAAAGTTTTTTCTTTTAGCTAAACAATAAGCACTTCTTTCTCTCAACCTATGAAGCTCCAAAAGTATCCGCATAGGTACAGGGTGCTATTGTTCTCTATTCAGCTAGGCTAACTGATATCAGAAATACGTTCTGGTTATAGCTAAGATGCAAGGCCATGAGGCCTGTATGTGGGTTAGGCTTCAGCAAAATAATGGTATGTTAGCTGCTTTTTATTCTCCCAACGTGCATTTTTTTAAAGCAGTGGCCATTGATGAACCGAAGTTAATATCTGAACATATGCACGTTTATAGTTGATTCATGTTTGTGTGGTTGGAATCATAAATGGCACTTAGTATATAGGTAAAGGTTTCCCTTGCTCGAAAGCCAGTCGAATCCAACTCTAGGGATGCGGTGTTCATCTCCGTTTCCAAGCCCAAGAGCCAGCACTGTCCAAACACGCTTTCGTGGTGATGTGGCCGGCATGATTAGACGCCGAGGCGCATGGAACGCTGTTACCTTCCCACCGAAGCGGTACCTATTTATCCACTTGCAATTTCTTGCTTTCCAACTGCTAGGTTGGCAGGAGCTGGGACCAGAGACAGGCGCTCACTCCATCATGCGACACTCTGGTCTCGAACTGCGGAACTACCAATCTTCCGGTCTGCAGTTCAGCGTCTTAACCACTTGAGCCACTGCAGCCCCAGCACTTAGTATATATGTATATCTATATATCAGGGCAGTGCTAAGTATACCTACTAAGTTAACCTGTCAGTCAGTGGCAGAGTACAAAATGTATAGCAGTGTGTCATAAACTCTGCCTAAAGGTAAAGGTTCCCTTGCTCGAAAGTCCATGGCCATTCCTGGCTCCCATGACTTCCAATGGGCCTTCAAGCGGCCATTCCTGGCTCCCATGACTTCCAATGGGCCTTCAAGCCTCTCTCAGTGTTTCCAAAGAGCAATCCTGTCCTTTCTTTTAGTATATCCCAAGAAGGGGGGGCTTTCCTTAGGACCCCCGAAAGCCGCTTTCCTGGGAGGAAGCCGGACCCGCTCAAGAGCCCCCACCCACCCCCAGGGGGAGGGTCCCGATCAGACCTGCTTCGGATGGCTCGGCCCGAGCCACTGCCCCCTGTATATATCCAATATAGGGGGCAGTGCCCGAGCTCCCTCCGGGTGGCTTCCCCCTTTTTTCAGCTCAACCCCCCGGTTTTCTGAGCGAGCCGAACAGCCTGGAGGTTCCCCGGGGGGCGCAGCCCTGTGCGGAGTGACTCCCGAGGAATCCCACTGAGCTGCGTTACGGGGCGCCTCCGAGGGCAGCCGGGCCCAAGTCCAGCCCAGCGGGAGGGGGCGGGGAGAGGTCTGGGCGCCGCTCTCGGCGGGGAGGGCGGGAGGAGGAGCCCCTTCTCTCCTGGGCCTGCAGCTCTGAAAGGGTTAAGGCAGCCGAGCTCTTGGCTAGAGAGGCCGAGAAAGGGGTGGGGGGGTAGAGGCCGCTTCCGCCTGGGAGGAGGACAACAGGGAGGGCTTCCGGGGGTGCAACAGCCGAGAAAGGTCTTTGCAGCGCCGCCAGATCCTGAGAAGGTTTCCTTTTGAGTAAGTCCCCTCGGAGGACGGACATTCCTCTGTCGTGGGGTGGGGTGGGGGGTTTCCAGTAGTTTTTAAAAGGTGATCTTCTGACGGGTGTTTTCCTTTGTTAGCCCTGTTGGGGGCCCCCGGCAGGGTCTGAAAGGCGGGATCGGAATTCTGGAGATCGGAATAAACCTTCCTGGGGCGGGGGGGTCGGCGGGCGGCCCAGGAAGAAGCCCCAGGCGTGACCACAGGGGAGGAATCGTTCGTGCTGAGGGGCTGCCCAAATACCTCGCCTTTTGGCCGGTGCCCCCCCCCCAAATCTGCAGTTTCCCATGGATGAAGGGTGTTAGTGACATTATTTTATTTATTTACAGTCGTGATAGCCCGCCCTTTAGTGGGACGCTATACCATAAGAACATAAGAGAAGCCAATGTTGGATCTGGCCAATATCCAGTCCAACACTCCGTCCCACGGTGGCCAAAAAGACCAGGTCCCATCAGGAGGTCCAGCAGTGGGGCCAGGACACTTAAAGCCCTCCCCCTGTTGCGCCCCCAAGAATACAGAGCATCACTTGCCCCAGCCCCAGAGTTCCTATCTATACCTTTCTATCTGTAAAAAGTAAAGGTTTCCTTGCTCGAAAGCCAGTCGAATCCGACTCTAGGGTTGCGGTGCTCATCTCCATTTCAAAGCCAAAGAGCCAGCGCTGTCCGAAGACGTTTCCATGGTCATGTGGCCGGCATCTATCTATATCCTATCTGTACCTTGTGGCTAATACATTCAATAAACTATGCAATAGAATTTGGGTTTATTTATTTATTTTATTATATTTCTATCCCACCCTCCCCGTGAACAGCTCACAGTTTAGGGCACAGTGTGCCAAATATAAAAAACATATAAAAGCACATAAAACAAAATAAAACAACCATATTCTACAATTAAAGTGCTCAGTGATGTTAGTCCTTCCATCAAATTTAGATGGCATAGTGTAGATGTAATACAAAGTCCCGGTTCAGCGGTAATCAATCTGTCACAATGCTGTGGCTCAGTCTTCATAGGGCTGGCCCACTACCCCATTGTTACTAACGATATAGTTGGTGGTAGTGGTAGGGGCGGCTCCTCATTGGTTGGAGAACCAATCTGAAAAACAGTGTTGAAGAAAAGCATAAATGTTAACGTGGCATAGCAGGATCCTACTTACGGGAAACTAAACACAGTCATTCAGACCCCCATGCCCTAATGATGTCTCCAAGAAACCTTGTGAAGCATATGGAGCAGAGGTCCATCAGTGGCTATTAGCCACAAGGTATAGATAGGACTCTCAGTATGGGGCAAGGGATGCTCCGTATTCTTGGTGCTTGGGGGGGGGTGTACTGCTGGACCTTCTGATGGCACCTGGTATTTTAAGCCACTGTGTGACAGAGTGTTGGACTTGATGGGCCATTGGCCTGATCCAACATTGGCTTCTCTTATGTTCTTTTGTCCAGTGCCACCCTATTGCTTGCTTAGAAAAGCCCTCTTGGATAATTCAGTTTTGCTTAGTCTGTGGAAAGCCAGGCGAGTGGGTGCCTTCCTGACCCCCTCAGAAATGTCCTATTGTTTGGATGTCCAGGCCAGCCAGAGGAGGGCAGTAGGGCAGTAATTCGCCTGCGCCATCTAGCTCCTGACAATGGCGGAGCCCTGGCGTGCTGCAGCTGCTGGAGCTTCTGAGATGGTTTTATGCAGTATACAGGGCATTGATCTAGTCTAGTCTCCATGTCACTGTGGCATGGGTCCTGGTGGTTGGATCAACTATATCAAGGGAAGGGGCCATATTTTGAGCTAGGCTGAGTTCGGAGAAAGCCTTTTTTGCAACTGCATTAACTTGCTTCTCCAGCAGTAATGTCCAGTAAATTCCAAGGCTCTTGAGTTGGCAAGGGTTAGCTGAAGCCCATCAAAAGTGACAAACATAATGTCTTTCAAGACTTCTGCTTTCCAGGGTTCAGTTTCAATTTGTTCACGCTCAGCCATTGAACCACAGCAGCCAGGAAGCCGTTGAGGACCTCTGCCCCATCCCTGCCTCCTCCTGCTCCTGTTTGCCCCCCAGCAGCCCCTCTGCCCAGACCTTGAGAGGCCCCTCTGCCCCTTCCCCTCGGCTGGCTGCTCGGGCAGAGCTCTTGCCCAGCCCTTCTGGCCTATTGAGGAGCTCTCTGCAGGGGTTAAGCCCTTCTTAGTCGCTTTGCCTTGGACCCCAGTTTACCTTGAGATGCACTCATGGGACAGACTGGTCCCCAGGTACCGGAGGCCAAGCTCATAACATCCACAGCAGATTTTTAAAGAGCCAAATGGAGATGTTTTCTTTCCTGAAGGACCAAACAAGCATAACCTACAAAGCTTGATACTTAATATACCCCAACAATGTTAATCCTGGTCCGCAAGCTACAACACGGACACTCCTTCTGAATGACTTAGGTCTGTTTTGACCAGGGTCAGTGATATAACTCCATTCTCTCTTGCTTGCTTTCTGCCTTTTGGATGTCTTTCCCTCTCCCTCTTCATAGGCAAGTGAATAAGAGTGTCTTTCCACAGTCAGAGGCAACCCAAGAGAAAGGGGAGGGAGATGGAAGAGGAGGACCCAGAAGACCCTGGAACTGGCAAGAGATTAAGAAAAAGTCCCCATCCCATCCAAGCAGGGAGTGCTACTGAATTTTGGGAGAGAGCTGTGCCAAAGATCTTGGCTGAGGACACTGTGACTGCAGATGTACTCAGGCGATGCTTCTGGCAGTTCTGTTACCATGAGGCCAGTGGGCCCCGAGAGGGTTGCAGCCGGCTCCATGAACTTTGCAACCACTGGCTGAAGCCAGAGAGCGACACCAAGAAGCAGATCCTGGACCTGGTGATCCTGGAGCAGTTCCTGGCCATCCTGCCCCAGGAAATGCAACGCTGGGTCAGAGAATGTGGGCCAGAGACCAGTTCCCAGGCAGTGGCCCTGGCCGAAGGTTTCCTCCTGAGTCAGGCAGAGGAGAAGAGGCAGGCAGAGCAGGTGAGGGGTTTTCAATCTCTCAGTGCAAGCAGTGACCTTATCCTAAGGCTCCCCTGTCAGTTATTTCTCTGTGTGTGTGTGTTAACTGCAAATCAAGTTGCTTCCAACTTGTAGCAACTCTATGAATTAATGTCCTTCAAAATGTCCTATCGTTAACAGCTTCACTTGGGTCTTACAAACTGAGGCCCCTGGCTTCCTTGATTGAGTCAATCCATCCCATATTTGGTCTTCGTCTTGTCCTTCCACCTTCAACTTTTCCTAGCATTATTGTCCTTTCCAGTGACTCTTTTCTTCAGGTAACATCACCAAAGTACGATAGCCTAATTTTCCTCCTGAGTCAGGCAGAGGAGAAGAGGCAGGCAGAGCAGGTGAGGGGTTTTCATTCACTCAGTGCACGCAGTGACCTTATCCTAAGGCTCCCGTCAGATATTTCTGTGTGTGTGTGTGTGTGTTAACTGCAAATCAAGTTGCTTCCAACTTGTAGCAACTCTATAAATTAATGTCCTTCAAAATGTCCTATCGTTAACAGCTTCACTTGGGTCTTACAAACTGAGGCCCCTGGCTTCCTTGATTGAGTCAATCCATCCCATATTTGGTTTTCATCTTGTCCTTCCACCTTCAACTTTTCCTAGCGTTATTGTATTTTCCAGTGACTCTTTTCTTCAGGTAACATCACCAAAGTACGATAGCCTCATTTTAGTCATTTTAGCTTCTAGGGAGAGTTGAGATTTGATTTGATCTAGAAGCCAATGATTTGTCCTTTTGGTGGTTCTGTAAAAACTTTCCTCCTATACCACAACTGGGATCCAGTTTGGTGTAGCGGTTAAGACTGGAGGACTGTAATTGGGAGAACCGAGTTTGATTCTCCACGCCTCCACATGCAACCAACTGTGTGAGTTTAAGTCAGTCACAATTCTTTCAGAGCTGTTCTCTCAAGAGCATCTCTCTCGGAGCTCTCTCAGCCCCACCTCCCTCAAAGGGTGTCTGTTGTGGGGAGGGGAAGAGAAGGAGATTGTAAACTGCTCTCAGACTCCAAGTAAAAGGTGGGGTGTAAATCCAACTCCTCTCCTCCTCCTCCACCACCACACACAGTAATGGGGAATACTCAGGTGTGAATTAATTCAGTCTTGGTCACCAGCGACACATCCTTACACTGGAGAATCTTTTCTAGCTCCTTCTGGGCTACCCTTCCCAGCCTCAGTCTCCTGATTTCTTGCTTGCTGTCTCCCTTGAGCAATTTCAAGTTCTTCATCATTAGCCCTTCATTTGTGTAATTCCAGACTAGTGATTACTTTTGTCTTCTTGTAATCCCGCTTTGCTGTTGTTTCAAGGCTTCACTATTTTCTGCCACCAATGTGGTGTCATCTGCACATCTCAAATGGTCACTGTTCCTTCTGCCAGTTTTCAGTCCTCCTTCATTTATATCTAATCCATCTTTCCTTATGATATGTTCTGCATATAGATTAGAGATGAAATACATCATAGTCTGACCCTTTTGCCAATTTGGAAGCCATTCTGTTTCTCCATCTCCTGTGCTAACAGTGGCCTCTTGTCCAGAGCACAGGTTGCACATCAAAGCAAACAGATGATGTGGCACGCTGATTTCTTTAAAAACCAGCCATAGCTTTTCATGATCTACACAGTCCAAAGATTTGCTGTAATCTATGAAACACAAGATGATTT